TCTGGGGATTCTTGCAATATCAGTATGGCCAGGGCTGTCCAGAAAGGACTGAACCATGCAATCCTCATATCCTAGGGATCACCAAATGGGGTGGTGAAGCCATAACGCAGGCCTTGAAGACCAACCATCTTTAAGGCTGGTCAGGAAGTTGCTGTGGTAATTAGTATTTAACGAGGTGGGACTGAATCAGAAGGAGCTGAAGAAAACAAGGAGAGCAGGCAGGTGTGCAAGGGATTGGGAAACAGGGGCAATGGAATGGGGAAAAGGGGTGGATGCCAGGCGTTCCTGCTTACACCATTTTCCCCCCCCGCCTGTGGAAGACAGGAGTCCTGAACTTTAGTAAAAAAAAAATATGAGCATCAAAAGTGCATTGTTGGTTACGGTAATCATGCTTTCTCCTGCACGGCAATCCCCGGGAAAGCTACACAGAGTTCAATCTGAGAGGGACTGCCAGCTAATGCTGTGCTGCAACCGTCCTCAATAATTTCCTTCTATGTGCTATAATTGAACATGATCCATTATCTGCCATTCAATCAGTATCAATACCAAAGAGGAGATTCGTGTAATAATAAAAAAGTACAATTACTCTTACAGGAGGGAAGGACCGTGAGCAGCCCAGGCTGGCTGGCAGCCATTTACCACTAGACCTGAGCTGGCTTCAGCTGTGGGGAGAGGAGGGCTAACACCTGTCAGGTGAGGGAGCTGATCCCGTGAGGACCAGCTGTGGCCTAGGGTTTAAACTGAGTAGAGAGAGGGGCTACCTTTCCCCTCTGGTGAGGCTAAAGATCTCTAAAATAAGCAAGCTCAGCCAAGTCCAGGCCAGGCAGGAGGATGGGGCCCAGCAGGCAGCAGCCATGTCAGGGTGGTGGGGGGCTCCTTGCCAGGAGCTGTGACAGGCTGAGGGCTCCTGTGAGACTTCCCCTGTAGGATTGCTTAGAGACTGTGTAGGGGAATTCCCCTTACTTTTCCTGGAGATAAACTGTCTTTTACAGGTGGAAATGAACAGGTGAGGGGTTAAAAAAATAAATAATTAAAGACACTGTTAGAGGCGCTGTTCTGGGTGGTGTATGGTGTTGAGGTGGCGTACACCAGCCAAGAAGGCACAAGAACATTGTAATTTTCTGTTGTTAAAACATCTCCATTTCTCACTCATTTATAATTCAGAAAACAAAAATGAAATAATATGTATGTGAAAAAGTATTAATATGCCTTTGGAAGCTTATAAAATGTAGCAGGAGGTGCCTTCCTGTATCTTAGTCCTATCCATAGAACAAGATGGCTGAGGTGGCAGAGTTGCCCTCATCCCTCAGCCTTTTCCCAGAAAGGGAAAAGATAAAAGAATATTCTTGCTGTGTACTTGCAAGATTAACAAACCAGGTTTGCAGATCAAATAGGAGACTCCGAGTAATCTCTCATCTTTTGTGGCAGTCGCTCCCTATGCATTCAGTGGAGAGGTGGCCTTGCAGGGCTCTGCTGATGCATGTTATGGCAGCAGGTCCTGGGGAGGGGGAGAGAGGCTTTTATGTGCTGTTGTCTTCAAGGGCAAGTGTGGGCTAAAGCCCATGTTTTTTACCCCACCTGGTATTTAGTTGGAGCTTAGTGGAAGCTCTGCAGACCATGAAGCACTTGTGTAACGTAACGCAACTTTGTAAGTAGGCTGAAGTGGGATCTTCTGAGAAGTCCCTCCCAGTTTTCTTTTCACAGAGAGTCTTACCACAGCAATTTAATTTTTAGATAGTAAAGGTATGGGTAATTGTAGCAGAGAAACATTTATGCTTGCTTGCCAGCTATAGATAGAAAAAAATACTGTCTTCTGTGAAAGAAAGTTAGGATTGTATGAAACAATTGTACTGTTTTAGTCATTCTGTTGTTAGATGTTTATGTGTTGTTTGGTCTCAAACTGTACCATGAACACAGGCAATGCACTGCTACTACTGGCAAACCTAAATGGTGTCTGGCTGGAGTTAACAGGAATTAAACATGTAACTACAGAGAATGTAGGTTTAAGTGTACTTGTAGTTACAGAAGCATTCATTTAACATTTGTTATAAGCTACTGTTGTTTTTTTATGAGTAATAGGGGAGCAGTTTATAGTTGAACTACTGTACAGAGAAGAAGAGCTGTGTGGCTTTGCATGGAATACTTGGAGCCTTAGGCAGTTTTGTACATGTTTTCTGTTACAAATAAGTTTAATGGTGTACATTAAAAAGGAAGTGTATTTAAACCTTTATGGTCCATACCACGTTGGGTGGAATTACAGTAAATTGCTACGTTTCATTTCTGTAATTATCTTATAAACTGCTAGTTGATATTGTCCTGAAGTTTATGTTCAGCACGTTTTAACACCAGTCGTAATTTGGACAGCTTGTATAAGCTCATTTGATTGTCTCTTAGGGGTATAAAATTACATATATATTTAAAAAAAAGAAATCTATTAAAAAAGCATAAGAGTAACACACCTTTGGATGAGTGTGTGTACTATTGAGAGGGGAGGGATCACGATCACCTCTCATGCTGTGATTATGAGTATGCACAGAGCAATTTTCCTAGCACTAATAGTTCTAGAAATATATGATTATGAAACATGGTCTTTTCCTTTTATTTTATTTTTTTCCATTCCTGTAGGAACTTGGAAGTAACAGCCCTCCGCAGAGGAACTGGAAGGGAATTGCTATTGCGCTGCTGGTGATTCTAGTTGTTTGTTCACTCATCACTATGTCTGTCATTCTTTTAACCCCAGGTAACCTACTTCTTTATTTTATCTTACTGAAGGTGTATGATTCATAATGCAGTCATTAAGATGACATGTAAATGTTAAAGTATCTCTTGCTCTTAAGCATTTTTAACTTCTGGCTACTGTAAATTTGGTGCCTGTACAGACTCAAGAGTGACCGGAGGCCTTGTGGAGCAGAAGCATTTGGCTTTGGCAGTAGGTCCTTAGGATTGTGTCAGCCTTGATATAGCTACAAGCAATCCTCATTAGCCTCAGCAGGTGTGAGCTGAGTTTAAGATTTTGTCACTTGTCTCTTGGTGTAATTTCAGATTCACAGATAAGCTAAGAGAAGGCTGTATATCATGGAAAACTAATATTGAGAATGAAACTTCTCACTGAACCAGAAGCATGCGTCTTTCATACGTACATGCACAAGCTTCTTCCCTTTTCTTTCTCTCAAAAACAAAGAGAGGGGAAATTACCTAACGGTTCAGTTACAGGAAAAAAAAAAGGGGGGGGGGGGCGGGGGCAAGTGGTAGACAAAAAAAGCAGTTGAACAAAAATAATTATGCTTAATTTTTTTTGGGGGGTGTTCTAATTTGATCTGGGTTATTTTTCTAAAGATTTTCTTTTTACTGCTGGGGCAGCAACCATTTAACTATGTCTAGGAACTTAAGAGAAGGAAACACTGCACAAGTTTTAAATAGAAAATATCTTTGAATTCTTTTTGTCAGATTTAAAGTTACAATGTAAAGTACCTGATCTGGATGGCATGCCTAGATAGTAAATATTGATCTGCAAATATTCTGCTATGCAAGTGCCCAGTTTGTGTAAACCAAAAGGTTAATGAAGCGCTTTTTAGTTAAATAATGGTTCCAGACAATTTGGCCGCTAGATGAAGTCATCATGGGAAGCTGGGTGGGTCTGTGCATGAGCAAGTACAGTAGTGGACTGATGCTGCTTGAAAGGAAGGTGGTGAGACTGAATGGAAAAGGATCAAAAAGCTTTGCTTGTCAGAGCGGATGGGACAGCTGGAGAGAGTATGTAGGAATACTACGGACTATTCTGCTTCCTCTGTTTTGTGTAAATATCTACTACATATGCATGGTGCTGTCCAAGGAATGATAAAGAAATGACTGTTTGCTTATTTCCACTTAGAATATTTTGAGAAAAATAAAAGCAAAGTTGTGCTGCTGTAGTCTCAGTGTATAGGAGTTTCTTAAGGGAATACTAAAAAACAGACGTTGAGGACAAATGGTGGCATATCGTGATACACTTTAAGACAGAAGACTGTTTTTCTTTTCAAGGAGAGGTAACTTTTTTTTAAGGCTTGTAAAATCTCAAAAGTGTTATGCTGGAATCCACAATAATAAACATCAGTTCTGGCTCTTACATCTATGTAGAATTATTAATGATATAAAAACGTAAATTGAAGTCTTTTAAGGCACTCATGGAAAAAAGAATAAACAACCTAGGGAAATGTTAATTTTTTTTTTTAATATGTTAAAAAAGCTCAGTGAATTACAACATATCTGATGCTGTTTGAAAATCCAGAGAGCTTGCTTCAAAACTTGATGTAAGCTGGGACCTACATTTCAGTTCCAGTCAGGCAAGTGAAAACTAGTTCTGTCAGCTCAGATGCTCAAAGATATCCCAAAGAGACTGTAGAGCTTGATATAAATAAAAACATTTTTCCCAAAATGCTCTAGGTCTGTAAAACGGGGGTTTCTTGCAGGTTGGAAATGCTTACCAAAGAAAGCTTTGGAGGTACATTGTAGGACAGCTACTTTGCCTATTTTGATCCTAATCAGTGCTGTTCCTCCTTCACTTTCATGACTAATTAATATGTTTTTGGAAGAAAATATTCTGATACTCTGGCGGTTTGCTGGCAGGTACTAAGCACGATAGCTGAAGTTATCTGGTCTTGAATATATGTAAGATCACTTTGGGATGTCTAGCATTCGAGGGGAGGAAAAACTTGGAGACTCTCTCACAGGTCTGGCTATTGCGAGGTGCTCAGTTCTAAGGTGCTACCAGTCTGTTGTTGTAAATACTTGGTTTTGCAAATTCTGCTCATATAGTAGATCTGAATTAAGATGTTCAGTGCAATAATGAGCATTTTGTCCTATATTACCTTGGGATAGTTCAGAGTGCATTGCTTTTCATTTCTAATACTATTTTGAATGTCAGAGACTTCTTTCCCTATTTAGTTCTGCCTGTACCAATGGGCGCTTCTTAGATTTCATGTAAATTCCCCTAAACACTGCGCATCATGCTGCTTCTTTTTATGGAAGTGATAATAATTTCAGATGGTGGTTGCTCAGAAGCCTGATTGTTGAAAGTTTTGTGGAGGCAAAAGTGTATTTACTGATATGCTGTCGTGGTTTAACCTCAGTCGGCAACTAAGCACCACGCAGCTGCTCGCTCACGACCCCCCGCCCCAGCGGGGTGGGGGAGAGAACTGGAAGAGCACAAGTGAGAAAAACTCGTGGGTTGAGATAAAAACAGTTTAATAATTGAAATAAAATGATAATAATAATACAAAAAGCAAGTGATGCACAGTACAATTGCTCACCACCTGCCGACCGATGCCCAGCCAGTCCCCGAGCAGCGGCCCCCCCCGGCCAGCTTTCCCCAGTTGATGTACTGAGCATGACGTCCCATGGTATGGAATGTCCCTTTGGCCAGTTTGGCTGTGCCCCATCCCAGCTTCCTGTGCCCCTCCAGCCTTCTCAGTCGGTAGAGCATGGGAAGCTGAAAAGTCCTTGACTAGTGTAAGCACTGCTCAGCAACAACTGAAACATCGGTGCGTTATCAACATTGTTCTCACCCTAAATCCAAAACACAGCACTGTACCAGCTACTAGGAAGGAAATTAACTCTATCCCTGCCAAAACCAGGACATATGCCAAATCCAACAGAAATGATCTCTCTTTGCCTACAATTATTTATACATTGCTTTGTTCACAATGTAAGAAACTCTTAGGTCCGTGTGTACACTTTAACAGTTGTCATTTGACTTCACTCCAACATTAAGCAACAGCTTTCATGCGTTTTTTTAATAGAGGGATCAATGCTTCCGTATGAGATAACAAGCTTTTAAAAGAAAATCTTCTATGTAAGTTATATGCAAAAGGCTTCAAAGAGGCTTTAGCTTCTGCTAAAGATACAAGCGGTATTAAAACTAAATGGAAATTTTTTGATTTTTTTTTTTTAGTGTTTTTTATTACATGAAATATAACTTGAATATACAACACTAAGCAGGAACTGTGTTGAAATAAGAGATGTATTTTGACCTACTAATACCTTAGCTTCTCTTAAAACATGAAATATCTGTGTTGCAGTTATGGTTGTGGTTTTAGTAAATTGTACCAGCAATATTAGTAATAATTTGTTCCCCTCTATATTGCTTTTCATCTGTGCTAATACTCAGAAACTTTAGGAATGTGTTAGTGTTCTCAACAAAGAGATGGAAAAATGGAAGACCAGACCATTCAGTAATGTAAGTGATTAGCAGTAGAGTCTGAATGGACTCCCAGTCCAGTAACCTCTTACTGGGGCTCAACAGCTCTCTCTGAACCTCTGTGGACTAAGGAGTACATTAAAAAAACCCCATTGCGCCCACCAAATTGCTACACTGCTATGTAGCTGGGATTAGAAGGCTCGCAGGCAAGTATCCCTGCTAGTTTTCTTCACAATTAGGTACGTGCAATGATAAAGAAAGTGCATGAAGATATCAAAGAATGAGGTTACTCTTGTTAAAGTAAGGGTCTGGAGTGTGGAAAAACTTGGGAGTTTCAGAATAGGAACCCGTCTATCCTCTGGGGCAATTTAATTATGAATCTAGTGATTTTTGTGTAGTATTTGAAGATGATTACTGGAAACGTATTTAAGAGAACAAAATAAGAAAATACCTTGAGAATAATCTTATAAATATAACTTCCTTTATATTGGGAATTAATGCCCAGTGCAGAGACAAAAATAGCTGTTTGAGATGCCATCATTTGGTTTGTATGTCAGTATAAATATAACACAGGTATCTTTCTTGTTCTGCTTTTATTCTATTTCATGTTTTTGAAGTTTCATCACATACCTGCATATACTGAAATATTCATAGGTAGATTTTCTGGGATCAGTGCCTCACTCCTGCCTTTAAATCAGCATGTTTTTGTGCTTTGCATCATGACAACGTGTTCCACATTGTAGGAATTATCTAAAGACCTATTTGATTGACCACTGTTGATCTATATTTCAAAACGGAGAAATGCTCAATTGGAAGTACTAGCAGCTGAAAGCTTTTATATGAAAAATCACCTAAAAACAGCCTAAGAGTTGTACAGACGTTGCCACCCTTGTACAGGTGTTTTGCCACAACACTTAAGGCTGTTTTTCATTTTGGGAATGACAGTAGTTCTACCTTCATGTTAACTTAGAGTTTCTGAAGGTGTGGCAGACTCGAATGCTTTATGTGGGACTCCGTTACTGAGATATTGATGTTAGCATTTAAACCATGCATGCTGATATATGGTAATTACTGTTGAGCAAAGTGGCATGTAACTCTAATCATAGACTCAAAGCAAGCCAAAGAGTTTGCTTTGCTATCTCTTGATGTGAAGGGAAAAGAAGAAAAAAAAAAAAGGACAACTTTGTAGAAAAATTCCTTTAGGGAACATTTAAGTCAGCCAAACTGACAGAAAACGCTTTTTTGAAATTGTTTTGAGTAAAATCAAACTCTAGGAAGAGGATCCATTTGGATTATGTCCAATAGATAAATATCCTGTTTAGAACAGGGTTGGGAGCGACCCCTCCACACCATCTCTCATACTACTCTTAAATGAATAGAAAGCAAACTAAAAATTATTTTTGCTGAAGTGGAGATTCATTACCAGAAGATTCAGGTTTCTGTTCAATGCTGTATAGGCTCCCTGTAACTACTGTAAATTGGCAAACAAGTTTTGATATCTGACTACTTTCTGGGAAGTTGGTTTTCCTTTTTCATGCAAACATAATACGAACTATACTAATTCCTAGTTATTGATATACCTGTTAGCTTGCATACAGTTCACTAGTGGTATTTTTCAACTTTTCAGATGGCATTTAACATCAAGCCTTTATCCTAATTTCTAGTGTTAAAACTTTTGTTTTCCACAGAAAAGTCAGTAAGGAGTTTGAGTTGTTAATATACCGCACTACATCATTATTAGTTTTATTTGCTAAGTTAGAACGTAAATTTTATGAGGTGTTTAGACTACTTTTAACCTGCAAAAATAATATCCTATAAACTCAGGAAAAGTAATGAGGCTATTAATCTACTTTTGCAGTCTTCTAGTTTAGTAAGCACAAATATGTTTGTCATTTTGAATAAATATACACCAGTTGTTGAACTGTTGTTAGTTTGATGTATAGTTAAAAAGTAGCCATTTTAACATTTGATTTTGTTTGTATCTTCTGTAATCTGTGTTCATTTTCTATACATAATATATAGAATTTCAGACCGAAATACAGAAATCCGTGGGAAATAGTGTGAGGACATTGGAAATATGATTCCTTCAAGGAATAATTCAATAAAATTTAGAATGGAAATGAAAAAGAGATAGTAGGCTATTTGGTAATGCGGTAATAAGCATAAAGTGGGAAAAGGCAGTCTTTAAAATAAAACAAGTACTTTGTGAAGTACATACTAATTTGTGCTTGTGCTCAAGAAAGATTAACCCAGTATAGTGTTTTGAGAGTTCACATGATGTGTAATTCATCTTACTATATATAAACTAAGCATTTTGGAAAGTTAAATTACTATTTTAGTGTCTTTTGATGTCAATCAACATTTTTCTTAAGAATTATATAATATGAGATATTGACGGTGGAAAGCTAGTGTCAACGATTACAAACAAGGCTCTATTTTGGTAATGACTTAGCATTAGAAAAAAAATTACTTTTCAAACATCTAGTAAAGTTGCTTGAAGATGCCATTTTTTTTCAGCTTAGAAATGCTAACAGCAGTTTTAAAAGTTACTTTAAAATCCAATTTATATCGAGATTACTTGGCAGGCATGTGAATTAGATAGAAGACAGAGAGCAGAGCCAGTGTACCTTTCTTCTCCTATAGCCTTTCTGTACACAGTTGATGTATTGTTTTAGTGATTTTTATTAAAGCAGTTAATAAAAAAAAAAACAAACTGAAAACGAAACTGTCTTGGGTAAGACAATTTTTGGCAACATAACAGCTTGCGTGAGCCTGATTGATAGTTGGCAAAGTGGCAGGATATAAGGGGTCACAATAAATAGAAACAGACTCAAGAAAGGTTAAAAGGGGAATCCTTTTGGGATCACAAACAGCATCAGGATGAGGGTGTGTTGAATCAAAATCGGTGATGGAAAACAGCTTGTTGAGGGTAGGTAGTCAGCAAGGTTATGGAGAAAGGGGAGAATGTGCTATGAAGAGCCCAGTATTTGATGCAAGTTAGAAGTAGTGTTTTGAAGACAGGGAATGTATCTGTGGAGCTGAGTAGAGCATGTATAACAACACGTGCTTACTTTGAAGATAAAAACAGTGTGTGGCAGAAGCAAGAGCTAACAAGGTCCCATGATGTGTAAACAGAGGGATTAGGTATAAATCAAGAGAGATAATGTTACTCTGCTGTAAAGCTCTAGTAAGACTGCAAGTGGAATATTGTGTCCCATGCTGGACTTGGAGACTAAAAAAAAACCCAAACAGGTTATTTTGATCCCTGGAAGGTAGGAAGAGGGCAAAAAGCTTATTTAAGGATTAGAATGTTTGTCTTATGAACGAGGATTTGAACAACTCTGCATGCTTAGACTTACAAGACATCAAGTGCAAGAAGAGTTGATTACGGTGAGTAAGTGCTTACTGGGGCCCTGCTGAGACCTGGGAGGGAGGTGCGTGCAAAATGCAGCAGCTCCGTGGAGTGAGCAGCCGTGATGACCTTGTGTCTATCATAAATTTATGATGTGCATTAAAAAGGAGTTTCTCTTCAATACAGCAAGGATGCACCTTATTAATACTAACTGGAGTGACTGCAGCAGGCAGTGCTGACATTTAAAGGCAAAAAAATCATATTGTTGTTGATTTCAGTAAGCTTTCAGCTGGGTCTCTAATTGACAAATTTGGCTGAATAAAGACCAATAATGAAACTATGATTGACTTTATTCACTGTGAAGGGGTCACATTTTGATCTGAAATGTATTACAGGATATGACCTTTACAAAGCAGATTTCTTCGTTAAAAATGTGCTGGTAACATATTGGGTCGACATCAAGATAACAAGATGGCTTCTTGACTGCTGTGATTCTAGATATGCTTTTTCTATGGGTCTGTCATAGAATCATAGAGCCATAGAATAGTTTGTGTTGGAAGGGACCTTTAAAGGTCATCTAGTCCAACCCTCCTGCTGTGGGCAGGGACATCTTCAACTAGATCAGGTGGCTCAGAGCCCCGTCCAACCTGACCTTGAATGTTTCCAGGGATGGGGCATCCACCACCTCTCTGGGCAACCTGGGCCAGTGCTTCACCACCCTCAGCGTAAAAAAGTTCTTCCTTCTATCTAGTCTAAATCTACCCTCTTTTAGTTTAAA